CTCTGAATGCACGCACTCAATGAAAAAGAGCGCCAACGAAAGTGGGGTCCTCCTTTCTTTCTGCAGCCCTAAGTTTCCATTCCTTGGACCTTCCTAGCAAAAAATTCACAACTCCAACCCCCCACAAGGCCACCCCCCTCTAATATTGCCATACATTTATTAAAAGTGCTTTTCTTCTAAGATAAAGTAAAGTTTAATGAAACAAGCAAACAGCAAAAATCCATCCTTCACATATTGCTTATGATTTGCACATTTCATTAATAGCAGGCAAAAACACAACACCGCACACACAAAACAACCTGTAATCCTAAGAAATGACAATATAGTCACTTGTATCCTATGAGACGCTCGTTACATTAGTTTATCATTCTTTTCATCATTCTCAGAAAGAAAAGGATCTCTACTCCTTCACAATGTTCGCTAGGATACCCATAAGTGGGTCTCTGCGGTTTTACCTGTTTCATCCTTTAAAATCTGCGTTCAGCGTGGAAGACAGGAGGCTTACCTTATAAGAATGGTGGAAAGAGCCCCATGCCTCTCCCTCCGCCACGTTGGTGAAAGTCACTGTTTCAGTGCAGGCAGCCGGGGACGAAGCCAGTGTCTGCATGGTCCCATTGGAATCGGGGCTGCCCTTGGTGCGGTTGGCCGGCATGGCTCAGGCAGGGTTGACTCTCACTGTCCCTACACTTGCAGCCCGAGAGCCAGGCATCAGGCTGCAGCTCTGTCTCCCCAAGGCTTCTGGCTGGAGCTGGGCTGAGCAGAGGCATGCAGAGTCCTCCCTGAGCCCACCTCTCAAGAGCTCTGGCTGACGAAAGCAAGGATCCACGTGCTGCTCGTTCCTGTGCAGTTAGGATCCAGTAGCCAGCACAATCCCAGCCAGGGGGGGACTGCTAGCAGGTGGAGCTCCCAGCAGGAATCCCCAAGGGCCTGGGCAGCCAGGCCTCCCTCAGTGTGCCTCTGCTCAGTTAGGCTTTTCCCAACTTCCAGATTGACCCTGCTACTTCTACTCAAGCTTCAAAAATTCAGGAATGTGGACTCATCAGCAGATCGATTAATTCAGGTTATGTTTGCACTTCTGAAATCAAATAGAATCATGCATTTGTTCCAGGGGAGTCTGCCTTCAGACTTGGAATCTTCCCTTGGCCATACACTGAGTAGCAGGGTGCTGGGTAGGGTGCACATTATTTCAGTAGACACATGCAACTGCACACTTAGATTTCATCCATGTGGGTCTAATGTCAGATTTTCATACAGTCCCCCAAACTCACTGCCATCCAATCAATTTAGACTGGTAGGGACCCTACAGGATAGAGTAAAACTGTCTCTCTGTGTTCCTAAAATTGTAACACTTTACTGGAGTAGAAAGCCTCATCGTTTTCACAACAAGTGGCTGGTGGTTTTGAACTGCTGACTTTGTGGTGAGCAGCCTAATGCATGGAGGACTGGATGGAAATTAATGGCAATCTAGACAGGGATGGGCAAGAATAACAATGGCTGCTT